CCTGAACCTGTTCAGCCTCCACAAGAGAAGGCTGAGAGGGGATCTAGTGGCCTGTTACAAACTAGTCAGAGGGGACCAGCAGGCATTTGGGGAGTCCCTGTTCCCCCAAGCACTACCAGGAGTGACTAGAAATAATGGTCACAAGCTGGCAGAGGGTAGATTCAGGCTACACATCAGAAGACGCTACTTCACTGACAGGGCGGCTAGGATCTGGAACCAACTTCCAAGAGAAGTGGTGCTGACTCCTACCCTGGGGGTCTTTCAGAGGAGGCTAGATGAACACCTTGCTGGGGCTGTTTGACCCTAGTTCTCTTTCCTGCCATGGCAGGGGGTTGGACTTGATGATCTGCTCAGGTCCCTTCCAACCCTACTAACTATGAAACTATAAGAGGCTGAGAGCCATGGGACTCTTCAGCCTGGAAGAGCACAGACCCAGGGGTGACTCAGTAGCTACCTATAAGTATGTAAGGGGTGTACATCAGGATCTGGGGGAATGCCTGTTCACCAGAGTGCCCCAAGGGATGACAAGGTCAAATGGTCACAAACTCCAAGACCGTTTTAGGCTGGACATAAGGAAAAACTTCTTTATTGTCCAAGCCCCCAAGGCCTGGAATAGACTGACTCCAAAGGTGGTGCAAGCACCTAGTCGGGACTCTTTTAAAAAAAACATTTGGATGCCTGTCTTGCTGGGATCCTTTGTCGCTAGCTGACTTCTTGCCCCTGGGGCAGGGGGCTGGACTCGACGATCTTCCGAAGTGCCTTCCAGCCCTAAGGTCTATATTTCACCCATTTTGCAGCTTTAAATTTAATAATTTTTCAACCAACTTTTGTTTGAGAAAAAACAATAATTTTTTTATGAAAAATGAAGGAATTTACATGCACAATAACCTCAAGTAAGAAAGTTTAATACTCCTCTTGTGTTATTTATGGGAATTGACAGCATGGGCAGTAAAAAAAAGTTAAATGTTATTCAAGAATATTAAGGGAATAGAAAGAAATGCTAGGAAAGCCAAAAGTAGCTAATTTATATTATTAGAACCTTCTTCAATAGAATCACAGGACCTAATTATCATGCTGAAAGATCAGGTTAAATGGACTGATCCACAGTTAGTAAATTCACCTAAGGAACCAACAAGTGATTGAGATAAGACATTGCCAACTTTATTTCTGAAGTCAATGTAGATATCAAGTATTTCTTCCAGCTATCTAGGTTTTAGGATGCAAGCTGTAACTGAAGTCATCTGTTCGGCAATCCGACAAGAGTAACAAAGAAACCAAACACTTAACATCTCACCTAGCTATCTTGTCACTGCATGACATGGTAAGCAGCCTCTCTCCCTGTAGTACTCCATCCCAGGTCTGGATAGTTGTTGTAGATCGAACAGGAATTGTCCCTTCTCCGGATTCTATTTTTGTCCGTAGCTGTCCTCTTGCTTTACGGTTTGGATGCCTGTCTCCCTGATCTAGGTGACAAAAATAGTTTATAGTTAATTGAGAGAGAGCATTAACATATTTTTTAGAAACAGATGGTCATCAAAAGAGAAAAGGCAACCTATTTTTAAGCTGGTAACCATCTTGAAAAAGATCATTAATTTGTTACCAGAAAAGTGCATGAGATGCAGTATCTCGTTCTTAAATTCCATTCTAGGCCCTTCAGTCATAGAATGATGTCAACATATGGTGAGAGGAGCAAGGATTTTTTGGGTGATATCTTTGATTAGACCAAATATATAGCTGGGAGAGATCTTAGATAAACTTTTGGACACACAGTAGGCACCCTTCCTCCGGTCTGACCCCAAATACAGGGTATCTTGTGTTCATAAGCTTGTCTAAGATTTCACTCAGTTTGTCCTGTAAAAGATATCACCTAAAAAAATCCTTGCCTCTTGCGTATTTTATGGACCATCATCACTAAAACATCACTAAAATATATACAGGAATTTAGAGGTCAACAAAAATCAGTAAAAGCTAGTAATCAAAGAAGCCCAGTGACTTCTGGAAAGACACATGCCAACTCACTGGCTTATCCTTCAAGGCTCTAGCCTCTAGTCCATATGGTCTTCCTATCTGTCTGTACTTAGTCTAGCATTTCTAGTATGACAAAAATAAATGGCAGCATAGCACGTTATGGACTAACTCATTCAGAGAAACACATGCTTTTGTAGGCTTTAGCTTACTTTGCCAGATGCTATAAATGGACTTGCAGAGAACAGTGTACTATATAGAAAATAATAAGGTAATTTAAATACAAAAAAATATTTGTCTAACAGATACTAAGCAAATAGGACAATTAAACTGACAGCCTGGCTTCTAACATTGCCATCTGCCTATAATCAAACATATTGTTGGTAACTCCTTAGCTATATAATATGATCCTAGTCATACCCTCTTGTGCTGCTTCATGTGGGGAGAAGATCCTAGCATCTCCACAAGGAGAGGTGCTGATATAGAGATGAAACTGCACATTTTCTTTCAGTTTAAACCCTCCTCGTTCAGACTTGATAAAAATGGATTTTTGCTGATCATCTTTACTACTGGAACAAACAGAAAAGAGAGATACAGTCAAAACCTGAAGCGAAACAAGTATAGTATGCTAAGCCCAGTCATGCTTACTATGGCAGTAGATGTATCAACTTGTAAACAAAATAAAGGATGTAAAGAAGTTTACTTATAAGCTCACGTCTGTCTAGTGAAGTTATAATGAAAACAGTAAAGGAAATTAAACAAAACCATACTTTTGCTAGTTTATTTGTTGGTATTTTGATTCATTCGCACTAAATTTTAAAAAATGGAAAAACAAATGGGTTTATGTGCTAAAGGATGACATGCTTAACTCAAAAACTTAGTATGCTTAACTAAACAGCAGCTGTTTAATTAATAAATGAATCATAATAAGCACAGCTTTGTTATAGGTATATGTTCTTAAAATGAGTATTAACTTTCTGTTAAACTTTCTGATGGGTCTTTTCCAATATAATATTTCAGTTAATTAATGACTGATGTTACATGCCATTTTGTTTTACCAAGACTCTGGTAGCTTCGTGCTATAATTCAAATAATAAGTTTTGTGTTATAATTCAAATAATGATCACATACAAAAGGTCTTGGAATTTCTCTTCTATATGAAGTTTGTAGCTTAAACTCTGCCCTTCTAAACTTACCTTAAGAAGAACTCAAGTTGTGTATATAGAAATTTAAGCAGGCACCTGCGAGAGATAATTTCTGCATGGCAATCATTTAATGCAAGTCCACGGTCACTCATATATTCCCCATTGATACATTTTGTTCCCGTGGAAACACTTATTACCTGGGCATCCTTCACATCTGTACCTGTGAAATAAATTTCAGGAAGAAAATTTATTTAAATGCAATGACATTTATCAGTTGAATTTATTCGCTAGGATTAAACAATTTATTTTTAAAAAATAAACTTTCTTCAAACAATTTATTTGCAACAAAAACATCCACTTAAGAATTCGTCTTTGCACATCAGCCTGGCTACTGATATCAAATTCAGGCTAGATTAGAAGTTAAATAGGAAACCAGTAATGAAACTATTGCTGCTTCTGGAAAAGTCAGTAGGTTTCATTAGGAGGTATACATTCCCCAGACACCACTGGATCAATGCTCCAGCATAATGTCAGCTGGCATAATGTTCTTGGAGATGCTCTCTCTTGGACAAGATATATCCCAAGGCACTTTTTGTAAGAATAGGAGTGATATTCCTAATGTCTTGATCAAATTCCCAGCTTGAATAATTATTTGAAACCTGCTGGCATAGCTTTGTATGGGGTGAGTGAACAAAAAATAGTGGATTTTTTTCACATAGGTTCATAGAGTCAGTTCTTTCAGATTTGCCATGTCCTTTGGGTTCAAACAAAACTGGAATGTTTGAACTAACCTGCTCCTCCCAAAGCCTCAGTCTTCCCCCAAGTGGACTCTAGACCTCAAACTTCTTGAGAATTCTTTTTGAGATGAGGATGGTAGACCAGTGTTCAGAATCCTCCTTCAACTGTTATGTCTTAGGAGTGCCCCCTGGAGTTCATCCTCCTGAAGTAGGGCAGGAATGACTAGTATTGTCAATGATACCTTTGAGTCCAGAAACAACTACCACAACAGAGTTTCAAATGTCTTAAACTCCAGGCTCAGTTAGCTATGGACAACAACAGAATATTTCTTGCTCTACATGATGAAAGCAGGGCCAATGTAGGCCATCCAGGAGACCGTTTCTAGAATTCGGCAAGCAGCACAATTATCAGACCCATTCTCTATGAAGGCCAACAAAGGGAGAATGATTTTTTGAAGGTCCTCACAGGGGTTGGGAGGGAGGGCTCTGCCACCAAATGTAAAAACATCTTTAAGGTAAGGGTTTGACAGAAGTCTCATAGGAGAAGAGATGGAAATATGATATGGTATTCAGTGTAGCTTAAAAATTTAAAAACTTAGTCCAGCTATTTAATACAGTCTGTTTTAGGCCCCAGTCCAGCAAAGCATTCAAATACAAACTTAACGTTATGACTGCAAGCAGTTCAATTTAGGTCAACAGAACTATACTTTGCTGAACTGCACCATTATTTCTTTCAATTTCTATAGTTTCAATTGGATACATTACTCTCTTTTTTGTTTGAAATGGTCACGGTTTTGATTTTTTACTTTTAATGGGTTACCATCCTGGTTTTAAATCTGGTTTTAAATTTAAATCAAATGGGAGTAGACCACTTGAAATGGGAAAACATCACTTCAGTGAGGCTCCATGCAGGCCCTGAGGTTCACCTGGACACATTTTATACAAGGATCTAGTATCAAATCATTCATATATAGCAAAATTTGATTAAAACCTGTTTTAAAAAGTAAAGTTCTCTGTTATTTAAAGTGATTACCTTCACATTAATCACTTCCTTTGGAACAGAAAGAGAAAGTTATCTTCCAACTTAAAGAATTTAGTACTATAGAGGCAGATGGTATCATTTAGAAAGATCACATCCACCTTAATAATCTACACTATTATAAGGCACTGGTCTATTAAAAAGAGTAGAAAATATGGCAGGCAACTAAAACATGAGGATCTACAGGGAAAATATAAATTAGACTAAAAAACAAACAAACCCTCAAAACATTACGACAACACCAGGTTTTTGAATATTTAATCATTCTTCAGAGCAAAATAGCACCTTCAGTACAGTATTTCTGGTATGAAATAATTCTGTAGGCTACACTGTAGTAAATTATCTTGTGTGCTGCCTATCCTTTGAAAGAAATAAAAGGCAAACGCATGAAAAATACAGAGATAAGACAAAACATACTCATTTACTAATAAAAATAAGAAAACATGGGCCACATTCTCATTTAGGATTTGGTTCCTTTATACTGCTTTGTCAGCATAAACTGGCTATTTCTACCAAGCCAGCAGCCATGTCCGCAACACAGAGGAATTTACCAACTGTGCACAGCCAGAGGAACTCACTTCTGTATCAGTTGCCTTCATCTCTGCTTCATGCAGGCAGCAAGTTAGAGCCAGGGAAAGGTAAAACAGTGCTCCACCCTGGCAATTCACAAGCTGTTGTACAGTCCCCTTAACAATGCTAGCCAGCTTCCTTCCATATTGGTTTGGCACTGGGGCCAGCCTGAGAAACAGGGAGCCATAATCAGCTTCCTGATGGTCCTCCTGAATCAAATTCATCTTGGCACAAGACAGGATTTGTTCCCAATGTTTGTATTGCAGTATACAGTCCCCTATATAACTGCTACCTAGAAAACATTTCTTCCTGATCAAATACTTCTTAGGAGCACCTTATGATGGGGGTTGTCAACCTGGGTTACACGTACCCCCAGGGGTACCTGGAACAGTCCTGGGTATGTGCGGACAGGCAGGGACAGAGCCATGCCACCTCCCAGGAGCAGGGCTGGGGTGGGGTGAGGGCAGCAGCGCCCCTTTGTGGGGTGGAGAAGCTTGCAAGCAGCGGTTGCTGCTGCCACCCACAAGCCCAGTGAGCTTCCCTGCCCCACAGAGGGGTGCCAATGCCCTCACCCCAGCCCAGTGAGCTTCCCCACCCTGCCCCGGCTCTACTCCTGGGAGGCGGCGGTGCTCCATCTCTGCCCGCCTGCAGTCTCCACCCTGCATCTGGCCGTGCACACCCTCCTCCCAATGCGTCCGGCCGGCCACATGCTCCCCCAGCCTCCGCGTCTGGCCACGCGTGTTCCCCCACCAGCCGCCGGGGGTACTTTAATTAATAAAGGTTGAAAAACCCTGCCTTATGAGATGGTGTTCACAACGCATCACATGAAACAAAGGATGGTTAGCCCCCACTTCATTTTATATACCTTCTGCTGGTTCTTGTCCAACTAGTTTTTATATTTATATTTATAAACAGCACAGACTAAGACATGTAGGGAAAGTAAAAAGATCCAAACTAACACATTTAACAGCTACTTAAAATCGATCAAATCAGTGGATATCAGAAGCTTCAGTAAACTTCATAAGCTTAATACTTTACTACATGAGAAGGCACTAAACTGCAGTGTTTGTTTCACATACTGCATAACACATCAAGACATAATGGGACATTATAGAATATTTAGGTTCACCATTTTTTTTTTTTTTTTTTT